ACACACACACACACACACACACACACACACACACACACACACACACACAGAGTAAAATCTCATTTGCTTTCCTTCCTTTTCAGTCCAAGGTCTACTATAACTTGAATTGTCATCCTGGAGACTGATAGTTGATTATGTCTGTTCAGTCCATCAGCTCTTTAGGGTAACCAAGAGAAGCAAAAGTAAGCTGGCAGTAGCCTCAATGTTGTTATAGTATCTTGTTTCACTGGCAAACAGCCTATGTCTTTAGTTCTCATTTCTCTTATTTATTTATTTTTATTTTTTTAGAGATAGTCTCACTTTGTCACCCAGGCTGGAGAGCAATGGCATGCTCACGGGCACTGCAGCCTCGACCTGATAGGCTCAGGTGATCCTTCCACTTCTGCCTTCCAAGTAGCTGGAACCATAGGCATGTGCCACCACGCCCAAAGAATTTTTTAATTTATTGTAGAGACAAGATCATCCATGTTGCCCAGGCTGGTCTCAAACCCATGGGCTTAGGCAATACTCTCACCTCTGTCTCCCAAAGTGCTGGGATTACAGGTGTGAGCCACTACGCCTGGCATAGGCTGGGTCTTGAACTCTTAGCCTCAAATAATCCTCCTGCCTCAGCCTCCCAAAATGTTGGGATTACAGGTGTGAGCTACCACATCCAGTCCCTCATCTTCCTAAATAGATGGCTGTTGGGAGGGCCACTCAGGACCAGTTATTTTAATGAAATGTGTACTCTGCCAAAGATCTGGAGATAACTGCATTAGAGCATGGTGTTCTCTCTCTCTCCTTTTTTTTTTTTTTTGAATAGGGTCTCACTCTGTCACACTGACTGGAATACAGTGGCATGATCATGGCTCACTGCAGCCTCAACCTCCTGGGCTCAGGTGATCATTCTGCTTTGGCCTCCTAAGTAGCTCTCTCAGTCTTGTTCAAACTGCAGTGTATCTGGCAGGTAAACATCCTGTTTTATGCTATTGGGTGTGACAAATGCCTAGTTTCACTATAAATGAAATGTGCAAGCTGGGTGTGGTGGCTCACGCCTCTAATCCCAGCAATTCAGGTGAGAGGATTGCCTGAGCTCAGGGGTTGGAGACTAGCCTGGGCAACATGGCAAGATCTTGTCTCTACAATAAATAAAAAAATAGCCGGGTGTGGTGGCACACGCCTGTACTTCCAGTTACTTGTGAGGCTGAGGCGGAAGGATTGCCTGAGCCTAGCAGGTCGAGGCTACGGTGGCTGTGAGCGTACCGCTGCACTCCAGCCTGGGTGACAGAGTGAGACACTGACTCAAAAAAAAAAAAAAAAAAAAAAAAAAAAAAATGAAATGTGCATCTTAATTTTCTGTTTCATTTCAATGGATTTAAGAGAGAGGAATTATATAAATTGGCATTTACTACCACTTTTTTTTTTTTTTGAGTTGCAGTCTCACTCAGTTGCCCAGACTGGAGGGCAG